GTCGGTGAGGATGATTAGGAGGAGTGTTGAGGAATTCCCCATCTTGTACTAATCTTAATACCTTAGTATCCTTCAATCCTTGATCCTTTTTTAAGTAAAAGATGATTGGCTGAAAATCGCTGAAGGGTTGGAATTGTTGTGGTGGGGATATAAGAGGTACCGCTTCTTTTTTTTCAAAGCGGTTCATCGCTTAGTAAAGTAAGTTAACTCTTTTGATCATCCCGCGAGCCCCATCTACTAACTACGAACCGATCAGTTTGTGCACTCTGAAAGTATTTTTTGTACCTTGACAGTCTCCGACCATTCCGGTCCGCCTATTCTCGCTGGGTTTTGTCCCTCAGAGGCGTATTGGCATTTGAGAATAGGCCGAACCGGAGCGGAGACGATCATGGGAGCTACAGTTCTATCACCTCGCCAAACTAGACACAATATGTCAATACGTTTTATCTATGTTTTTGTGTTTCTTATATTTTTTATTGGTCGGTCTGTACGAAAACGCTTTCTGGTCGATCATGATCATCTATTAATCCGCCGATACACAGGCATCGCAACTTGCCCGACGGGTTTCGTCTCCTCTCCCTTGATTGAGCACTCCTGTCCGATAGTGGGGGCTTTTCGGGATCGTGGACCCAGAGGAAGAGAGCAAAGAGAAAGAGGGATGTGGCCGGGTACAGGGAGAGGGAAAACTGAAATTCCGTTTATAGGTCATTGTCCAGAAGAGTAGATGGTCCTTGGCCGGCGGCCGCACGAATTCTACACAATAAAACACTTTTCATCGCCACTACAATTAAAACGCTAAATAAACTATTAAACGTTTATATTTAACTTCCGCGTCACACTTCACTCATCTAACGAACATCTTAAGCAGAACAAAATATAAAAAGTTGCGATATCCTAGTCTTTCCTTTGTAAGGATCCGGCTTGCAAGTTAACATCTACATAAAACACACTACATAGGTGATAGGAATAGGGAAAAAAGAGGTGTCCACAAAGCTTCTCAACATGAGTAAAATCTATTGTGTATCACTAATTTTATAACTCTCTGACCAGCTCGGGTTGTTAATCAACCTCCACAGCCTTGCCAGCGGCTCCTTCGTGTAGTATCTCGCTTGCGTCTTTTCCTCTGCGGTCTCCTATTCTTACTAGCAGTTTCAGCTCAATGTTTGTTTTGTCTGTACTCCTATCCGGTGAATGTGTCTTCTTAGACGGCAATGCCCTGTCAGGTGTCCAACCAAAATAATGTTCTGTTGCCGTTACACTCCCACTTTCTAAGCCTTGCGTCTCTTCTGTAACTTGGAATCGTTAAGGATACATTTTTGGATGTGTAATTTTTTTGTGGAATGATGCTACGCCACAATAGAGTTCGAGGCCTAGAGAATTAATATTGGCTACATTTTTGGTCAACGTGTCCACCTTTTCAATGTTTCTATGCCCCGAATGCCCAGGGACTCATGCCAGAGCCAGGTCATTGGAGTTATTGACTTATGCCAGGGCTTCCATCAATTCCCTACACTTTTTGCCTTTACCTCGCATGATACTAAGGCCTTAAATACCACTTTACTTTCATACAAAAAGGATCTCTTCCTGGAATGGAAAGTCTTTTTATTTCTCAGGCGCAGTTTTCAATTGCTATGATTTTAGAGTGGAAAACAGTGGACCCTTTACTTAAGTTTAAAGCCAGTTCTGTCTTCGGATTCATCTCGAGGACTCTAGCTCTCGTGCCGCTATCCGATTTTGAGCCGTCAGTATACCAGTATATATCAGAGGTATTCCTTTGGCCCACTCTTCCCTTGTATACCTTGCGCTTGATGAAGTTGTATTTTGGCATAGTGGCATCGATTGACATGACTATTATGGCATTTAACTCCTCACTCAGTTCCATTGTTCGTTGACATGTTCTATCATTGTCGATGGTTGACCATTTCTGAACCTGTGAGCTACTACTGCTCTGGATTCTCCTTGGATTAAATTATGGAGCGTAAAGCGTAAAGGGGTGAGTTGTACATAAAACTGAATTAAGAAGGGGAAAGAAAATGACATTGTTTTATGATGTTACAGGCTGAAGATGATTATAAAATAATTGAAAAGCTTCCCATGTAAATAAACCTGCTGGAAATAAAGGCTTATATTTATTTATTAAAAAAACCACCATTATGGAGTTCCACAGCAAGAACGGTACCACACTTAACAATATCTTACGATTTTTTTTTTAATCACATGGCAGTGAAAATGAGATATGTTAAAGTGCGTTTAAAAACGTCCCGAGTTTTAGTTCCCATTTATGGGATGCCGTTTGCTATTCATTTTAAACAGTATCACTGAATTAGCATAGAAAAATTTGGAGAACCGTGAAATTTGGCCGAGAGTCGAGACTGTTTTCTGTTGTTGTTTTGACAGGGCGCCTGTCATCGTGTCGGAATGGTTTTCGCCCTTTGCAAATTGACAGGGCCGATGTGCTTGGCCGACCTGACCCACTGAATCGGCGCAGGGTTTAAATCAATAACCAGGGGGTTGACTACCCTCCGCCCACCGCCTCCACCCTTCCGAGTCCCGCCTTTCGTCCCTGAAGGCGAAGTGTTTTGACGCCTTAGAAGGCGGAGCGTCGATACGATCAATGAGGAAACCCGGTCGTACTCCATTTTACAGAGTTACAGAAGCTGATTCCCACGGGCCAAGTCGTGCAAAGCCCCCCCCCCCCAAAAAAAAAATATATATTTCGAGCAAAAGGGGCCCTAATTTGGTACACAGATGGGTCGAAGAACAGAGAGTAGGTGTAGGGATACAAGGGACGGACTATACCCTAGCAAGAAGAACAAACTTCTTGGACTAATACTATCAATTTTCCAAGCTGAGGTCCGCGCAACGCAACTCTGTCCACTCGAGTTGATAAGAAAAAAAAAGAAAGCTGCACATGACTCTCGGACAGTCGGAAGTTGAAAATAAGTATGCTTTCAGCCCCAAAATTATCTGGGAATTCCTGGATTGCCTAAAGAATCTAGGAAAACACAACAGGATTACTTTAAAAGTGGGTTCCGGTACTTGAAGGTAAGGAAGGACAGGCTGACCAACTAGCCAAAAAAAAAAAAAAAATTGGCAGACCTTCACCCATGGAACGAGAACCACAACTATTATGAAAGGTGCACAACTTTACACACTCCCAGTCAGTCTGAAACTAAATAGGTATGCTTTCAGCTCGAAACTTGTTTAGGAATGCCTGGATTGCCTAATGGATTTAGGAAAACACAACAAAATTATTTTTAAAGTCAGTTCAGGGACATGAAGATATAGGACATTAAGAGGCTGATCAATTATCGAAAAAAGGGGCAGTCCTCCCACACTTGGGACTGTGTGCTTAAGTTGGAACTGGAAAATCGGCTTGAAAAACTCAAGCACTGGACAAAAACACCAGGTAGGCAAGCCAAGAGATTTATAAATCTCTCAAAAATAAAAGCGAAGGAACTCCTCTCATCAAGCATGATTTGAAGAAAATTATTGACATCCATACCGGCCAGTGCCCTCGTAACTAACACCTAAAGACGATGTGCAGAGCAGGGAAAGAAACATGCCAACTCTGCCAGGAGGAACCATAGACATCGGCACATATATGAATGTGAAGCGTTAGGTTACACCAAAAGAGGTGAGCGAAGAGGAACAGAGGAAAACGCTTAGTCTTAGAGGAAAAAGTGCACTTTCCACGATACATGTATATAGGTCGCAGTGGAAGAAACGTTTTGTAAAATCTTTATTCGCCCCCCTCCAAAAAAAGAAAAATAAATAAATAAATCAGTCAACTAATCATCACTGATCCTCTCAAGTCGGTGGTAAGTGAAAACTGAACTGTATTAATTACATGCCATAAGGAGGGGGTCAAAAATGGGTGTAACGTACGGTGGGTCAGAACTAGTGATGGGGCTCGCAAGCTGGTCAAGAATTAACTCACTGAGCTCACAACTGAGCGACCGATGAACCACTCTGAATAAAAAAGGCCGGTAGCTCTGATATCCACTCAGATACCAACTTTTCAGCGATCGCAGCTCAATTTTGAATTTTGTTTTACCACCACTCAATAACTTGACAAGTGACTTTACCACTTTTACTCCTCCAGCCACTCTCCGCTCTCCTCTCGAGACGATCCTTAAAGAAAGCAGTTTTGATCCGACTATTAAAAAGAGCGGTTTTTTTCCATCTATAGATACGAGTCGGACGACCTAACCACTCAGCCACCGCGGTCCCCTAACTGTAAATAATTATTGTTCGGTCATTGCTTCATTTTTGTCAATCGTCTGTTAAAGAAAATTCAAAGAAATCTGTTTTAACATAATTTACTCCCGTTAATCATCAATTATCATCTCAGATGCCATTGATCTCGGGCATGAATCCTTGCCATGACGACAGAAATGTAAAAGTAGGAACAAGGGTATGCTATGTGTATATATAATTTTTTTTCATTTTTATTTTAAAGAGCTTATGATCGAAAATATTGTAATTTTGAAGAAAAAATTGATTGATTATTCATTCATAAAAGTTTAATATTTCCTAAAGCATCAGAACTGCTGGTATAAAATCGAATAAATTGTACTGCATCTCCTCAATAGGGCAACTTGTAATTTTATTGTACAATTCAGGTGAATAAAATAAATAGATTCAAAAAGAGTAAAATAAAAAATAAAAAAATAAATAAAAAGTGGCGTACCAAAAGATGTTGAAAAATACACCACAGTAATGTTTAATGGGCACATGTGCACACAGGATAAGACAAAATATTAAACCAGTGAGTTGAGAATGCCGGCTGTTTTATTTAAAATCGACATCTCTTCTCTTAGGGTAAAAAACCTTATTATAAATGTCCTTATCGAATTAGTGTCATAAATAAATCGATAACGTTATTCAACAGTTCAACGATCTCCGCCCTGGGAAATCGATAAGCGGACTCACGAGAGAAAAAAGCTCTAAATCATTCACTTGCGTACAGAAAAATGTTTTTAGACTTTAAAACTCACCTTATTGTCTCGACAATTTCAAGAGCGCTGTCATGCTTATCCTGAAACAGAAATAAAACAAAACTTAAGTCGCATAGGTCATCCCAAAATCACACTCGGACTTATGTTGGTGAGACCAAGTAGGTGCCCGTTGTGTGGAAAGCTTATCACGGTAATGCACATAATAACAGACTGCAAAGAAAGAAATACGACAGATCGCCTATCCAATATCTAAAGGCGATAGATATTGTTAATTGATATAGATCTTTAAATCTTCGTGTATGTCATATGTGATATTTAGAGGAACGAATGTATTTATTTGCGTGAATCGAGGGACTATCCTCTCAATTACCCCTAGGAATATCTAGTATTCCGGGGTAGTGTGAATGAAATTTATTATCATGAATGGCAGGGTTTATCCCCATTACGACGAGGAATATCGGGTACCCGAAAAACGTTTTTTGGGTAGTGTGAATGCTAAGCAGCCTACCATGCTTTTGTCTTGTTTCTGAGTATTTGTGTTTGTTATTTGAGTTGTTTTATCCACAATTCACAGGCCCTGGGGTAGGATCGGTTGGCAATAGGATAAAGAAAAGAGAGAATTGGTTACCAGTATATCATAAAGCATTATAACGACGATAAACAGTGAAGAAATTAGTAAGCTTAATACGCGACAAAGATAAGAAAAGAAAAGCTAAGAAAGAGAGGACTGGTGATGACCAATGTCGTTTGCCGGCCCCAAAAATTAAAAAAAAGTAAATCTATGATCGTTAACAATTCTAACCACCAGATAACATAGTGGGCGGTCAACTAAAGGGGTTTCATAATTACTTTTTTCATTCACTTTTTAGACTCGTTCAAAACTAATTAAAGTTACAATTTGAAAAAATTAAACATTACAAAAGACGGATGTTGGTTTGCGGGGTCCGTCTACATTCGCGGGTTTTAAGTATACTAGCATGACTAGCTTTGTTGAAGTAGGTGTAGGGTGTTGGACTACGAGCCGGTGAACTCATGTTGAACCCGAATTTGTTTGTTTATTGGGACCATATAAACTCATGTTTTAAGTAAAGTTAAGTAAAGAAGCATGACTAGCCGTGTTAAAGTAGGCATTGGGTGTGGGACTACTAGTCGGTGAACTCATGTTGACCCCGAATTTGTTTACTGAGACCATATACACTCGCATTTTTTAAGTAAAGTTAATAAAGAAGCATGACTGGCTGTGTTAAAGTAGGTATTGGGTGTTGGACTACGAGTCGGTGAACTCATGTTGAACCCGAATTTGTTTGTTTATTGGGACGATATAAACCCCCATGTTTTAAGTAAAGAAGCATGACTAGCCGTGTTAAAGTAGGCATTGGGTGTGGGACTACTAGTCGGTGAACTCATGTTGACCCCGAATTTGTTTGTTTATTGGGACGATATAAACCCCCATGTTTTAAGTAAAGTGAAGTAAAAAAGCATGTCTAGCTGTGTTAAAGTAGGTACTGGGTGTTGGACTACGAGTCGGTTAACTCATGTTGACCCCGAATTTGTTTGTGTATTGGGACCATATAAACCCCCATGTTTTAAGTAAAGTTAAGTAAAGAAGCATGACTAGCTGTGTTAAAGTAGGCATTGGGTGTGGGACTACGAGTCGGTGAACTCATGTTGACCCCGAATTTGTTTATTGGGACCATATACACGCGCATGTTTTAAGAAATGCTAAGTAAAGTAGCATGACTGGCTGTGTTAAAGTAGCTGTTGGGTGTGGGAGTACGAGCCGGTGAACTCATGTTGAATCCGAATTTGTTTGTTTATTGGGGCTGTATACACTCGCATGTTTAAAGTAAAGCCTAACCTGACTGGCCGCCGTGTTTGATGTTGATGTTGTTATTTAAAAAAGTCGAATTATAAAACTATAAAAGAATTGTATGAATATTTTATTTCGTTTTTCATTTCGCGACAAGTGCCTGTACAAAATTTGATGTATTTTAGTCGGTTACAAGCCTGACACACACGGTGATGAAACAGAAACGTGCAGACCGAGTTGGAACAACAAAACAGTCGATCGTGGCACTTTTGTTCTGCAGAGTCAGGGCTGACGACCGACGTTCATTTAATTAGAATTAGCTGAACAAATACGAATCCGTATGGATTTTAACATTAACAGTCGAATCGGTGATATTTTGTGCTAAATAAGTGAAGGGTGGAAATTGGAATGACAGACAATTTTAAACACAAGGACAAACTGTCAAAACTCTTGTTCGATATATAGATGGCCGTTATCCTATTATTTAAAAACAATGCAGTACATTTTAAACAGGATCTTTTTTTAAATATCTTTCGATGGACGAGGAATGATAAATATTTTTTTAAAAATAACTAGTAGATTAAAAAAAGGTGCGTACGTAGATAGTGAACGAGATCGATGAGACCATAAGAGATGCTGAAAGTGATAAAATTGGCACATCAGTCCATCCTGTCCTCTTATTACGAAACGGCTAAGACTGTTGTGAAATAAAATTAAAAAGCCATCCTAGAATGTTGTTTTTTTTTAACTTTTTTTTTTTCAAGTAGCAGAAGTAAAACGAGAGAGAAATACTTCTTAAAGATGAAAGAAGAAGTAAAACTTCGGATTGCAGGAGCGTTGACAGTTGAGACGTTGCGACAAAGACAGAACTGAGCCCGCGACGGTTGATAAAAAAAAATCACCAAAATAAAAGAAATCAGACTACTAAAAACTAAAACTAACCGACTAATAAAGTTTTGTTTGTATTCTTTAAAGTGAAACTAGAAGAAGAGCCTGTTTTATGTTACTGGAAAAGAAATACCAGAATAACCGGATATAGTCTTGAGAAGACGATGGGAGAGCACTTCCTTCCAGACGGGATGTGTCGTTTCAGAAGTCTGTTATGGTTGTGTTTTATTCATTCAACTTTCTTTTGTGTCTGTTTTTTAATTTATTATTATATCTATATTTGTTGTAATGAAATATACTTACAGGTCCACGTCCCGAGGTCAGAGGCCATTGGTAGACGACCGCTTCCGCTCCGACGGGACTGTGCAGTCGCAACTCCATCACTTTTTCTACACACTGATTCTTCTGAACCATAAATCACCATGCACATCCTACGAATACGCAGAGGTAATACATTTGCTTGCGAGTCCGGCCCGGAGGAAGAAATACTGCAAGTCGGTGAGTACTAAGGCATGACAGGCGGTTTTATGGTCTTTTTCGGAAGGGGCTCCCCTTTTTATTGGATATGACAGGAAACCAAATGAAAAGGTACAAAACTGAACACCGACGGGCCGAACGGCTGGCAGGAAAGCACTGAAAGCAGGGCGGACGGATTGAACGACTGCGACACCCGGAGCCCCCACTTCGGCATCATCATCCCCACCAAAACCGCCCAGGACACTGCTCGCGGTTCAACCCTCCACACAATATTAAAACTGACAAGTTCATTTATTTATTTTTTTAAAATAATAATAAATAAAACAAATATATGATTAAACATTAAACCCAAATTATACGCTCAAAATATATATAAATATATTTTCTCATCTATACAATTATCTTAATTACATAAATACAAATATATAGATCTAATACAAATATATGATTTCAACATTAAGCTCAAATTATACGCCCAAAATGTATATAAATATAGATTCCACAAAGATAATTATCTTAATTACATAAATACAAATATACAGATCTAATACAAACATATGATTAAACATTCAACTCAAGATATACACTCAAAATGTGTATAAGTATATATGGAAAATAAAATTAAGGGAAAGGATATTAGAATTTTTCTGAGAGTCAGGCTAGTCTTAGGTCATTACAAAAAGATTTGTCAACCTCAAGACTGGTGGAGGAAACTGTAGATCTTATCAATAGGATCTCTTCCAGGTTTGAGAACAAGGTAACCCTTATTTGGATACCAGCACATAAAGGACACCATGGAAATGAAAAGGCAGATGGCCTGGCCAGAGAAGGTTCTAAAACTGCATTTGTCAGGCCACAACCGGTATTACCTCATGGGTTAACTGGGGCATGATACAATTCCTTAGGAAGTGGAATTTATCCGGACACAGGCAATCGAAAGAGTTCATTAAGGTGATCAAACCAGCAGAATCGAAATGGCTATTCCCTATCTCAAGGAAGGGAATTAGGAGGCTGATAGGTGTCCTGACGGGCCACTGCCCACTGAGAAGACACCTCTCCATAATGGGTATTCTACCAGATCCCTTTTGCCGTTTCTGCAAAATAAAAGAAGAAACGGCAAGGCACTACCTCACAGAGTGTGATGCTAGGTTCAGATTTGAAAAAAAAAATTTGAGCGGACATCACCAAATTACTCCTCGAGATAAACTGGTCCAAAATCATGGGGTTTGTGAACAAGTCCAAGAGATTTATGCAGGACACGTGAGCCGACCAAGTCCCGGACCTTTTAGGGATCGGGTATGAGTCTACCCAGGCATCCAGGCATTTAACCCCTCGGGTCTTGGTCGCCCACCCTGCGTAATATATAAGTATATACCCCCCCCCCCAGAGAATTATCTGAATTACATAAATACAAATATACACATCCCTACTCATTAATAACACAACACATTTATTTTCAGAAATCCCCCACCTGGAGAATTATCTAAAAAGTACATACCTCTACTCAATATTAAAACAACGCTTATATTTGTTTTATTTACAACATAATAATAATAATAACATTAAAATGGATTTTTTGCACACATTTGGCCTTCCAACTGTATTTTAAAAGGATCAATTAAAGCTTTGGATAGCGATAGAATAGATTAGTTTATGAGTGAATATTTTGGAGTCAGAGCTTTATAGTACTCAGAAAGGATATAGCTAACCTAAGCTGGAAGGTTTAAATGCTAAGTGTGAAATTATTACTTTAGCCTTTGAAACGCCCTTAAAAATTAATATAATAATAATAATAACAATAAATAATATATGATTCATTAAAATCATATTTTACACTTAAAATATAAATCACAGAAAATAGAAAAAATGTGGAGAATTATCTGAAAAACACATAAATGCAAACCTCTACTTAATATTAAAACATCATTTTTATTTATTTTAGTTACAATAATAATAATATATGAAATTCACAAATATCTCTATGAAATCAAAACACTTAACAAACATGTGGTATTTGTTTGGGTCCCTAGTCATGCCGGCATTTCTGGAAATGAAAAAGCTGATCAACAGGCAAGGAACGCTGCAAACCATCCGCAAAGAACAGATCAATTTCCTCTCCGCCCAGATGACATAGTAGTTTATGTTAAAAACATTATCAAATGAAGATGGAATGTCTGTAGAGATAGTATGAAAGAAATTAAGCCAGTTGTACATAAATGGCTAACTGAGGAACTAGAAGAGAAGAAAGAACTTGTGATTCTCTCTAGACTGCGAATAGGTCATAATCAACAATAGGTTTTTAATAGGCCTTTTTTTTTTAATAGATCTACCAACTTGTCCTCAATGTATGCGAAGTGGAGAACGTATGTATCATTCTGACAGTAAAACATATTTTGGTCGACTGTCGCACTTTGCAACCCTTTAGGCAAAGGCCCAACCTTTCGAGTGATTTAAAGAAGTTACTGGACCCCCAGTGTTTCTTTCGAAGAGCACTTTTCAGCTTTCTCAAATTTATTGGAGTTTATAATGAGAAAAACATACAACAGTTGAAAAACAAACAAAAAACGCCTTTTCACAAATCGTTATACCATTGAATGCTTGTCTGCTAATGTTTGAATGATAGTCGTGTGTGCAAGATTTCATTTTTTTTTTCAGGAATTTTTGAGGCTGCCGGAGCGGTAAAATGAAATAGAAGACAATACAAATTGCGGAGTAATAAACTGCAATGCCCAAAATCCCGATAAGCCTATACTCATACTGAGATTGTTGCTAGTCTGACTCTCCATTATTATTATTATTATTATTATTATTATTGGCCATACAAGACTAGGAAATGTTTAAATTATGGAACAAAAATTCAAAATTCTAATTAAAAAATAGGAATAAATTTTATATGTAATTTAAAATGGGACTTTTGCATACATTTGACCTTCCAAATTAAGAATTTTAAAAGGATAAAATAAGGCTTTGGTTGGCAATAATTTAGTTTATGAGTGAATGTTTGGAATCAGAGGTTTATAGCATTCAGAAGGATATAGCTAACCTAAGATAGAAGGTTTGGATGTTAGGGAGTGACATGTTAAAACGCCCTTAAAAATTAATAATAATAATAGTTGCTCGATGTGTCCCACATGATACAGGCATGTCATGACTTGGCTCCATACAGAGAGTGGGTATGCATGCCGCTGGATTATAGTTCCCGGACATGGTAGTGAGTTTTAGGGTCTCCTGTTCCACTTTTTGGGTTACTGGGAATTTTTTATTATAGCCATTAAAATATGTTTTGTATGAGTGAGTGTATTTATTAGAGTGAATGGGGAGGGGCTGATGGTGGAATAGCATCCCCATCGCCCCTCGAGCTGTGAATGGGACTTATGTTGATGGCAGAATATTTACAAAAGTATCCAATTGACCTCAATTATATTAGTTCGTTATTGTATGCAGGTTGATGGAGGAATATTGATTTACTCCATCTACTAAATAGAATGAATGTATATAAGTGTGAATGTTTTATTTGTGTGTGTGTATGTTGTATTTCAAAAGTGCTCGGGCTAAATGACCAAGCTGTCGGTTGCCCCTTTAAAAAATTTATTTACAGTAATATTACGTAAAAATATATGATTAAACACTAAACTCCAATTATAGACTCAAAATATATATATAAATAAATAAAGATCCTGCTTCGACAACTTCCACTAAGAATCTTTCAAAAAGGCTGACAAAATGAAAGGAATAAAAAAAAAATTGGAGTGGTTGTCAGTCAGTAGCCTCAAATACTAAGATGACAGTAATTCTAACAAGAATCCAAAATCTACAACTGTCTCTCAATCAAATTACATTGGAAGAATTTGACAAGAAATATGTACATACAGGTGTTGCAGAATAAATAAAAGCCGCACGAATAAACTCAGAATTTTTAGATTTCTTGACAAGGTTGCAATACAATCCTGTCGTTATAGTATTTTTCGTCAAATGCGCCTTTTTTAACTTAAAATTAACCTCTTTTAAACCTCAATTTTTTTTACTTCAAATTGGCTCTTTTAGTAACTTCAAAATGACCCTTTTTAACATCAACAAATTGACTTTTATTTTAAGTTAACCATTTTATGATAAATAANGGTTCGAATCCCTCTCGTGCCATTGACTTTTTTTCATCTCAACTAAAAAACCCCTATAATTTTTCTTCTCCATTGCTGCCTAATTTTTTAAAAAATATGTAATTATTGTTAAATAAAGCATTACAACTGTCAGGACTAAGGTAAAAAATATAAATTAATGAAATCCATAGTAATCTCAATAAACTTTTATTTGAGAAAGACAATTAAATTTCTTCATCCTCCAAATATTTCCAAAATTTCGTAAAATTCCATCTGTTCAGGCTTCTAGAATTCGGACAACTTCTTGCAGATAAAGCTCGAAAAATTACACCTGAACTTTCACTTTCCCTGTGGCTTGTTCAATTCCTCTCATCGGGTTAAGCAAATCGATGAACAGTGTAACCTAATCGTCTCCAATCATCCTGATCTGCCCAATTCTAGCAATAGGCAGACCAGGATGATCAGAGGCGATCAAACTACAGGACTTCAACTTCTCTTGTGCTGAAAAAGCTGACTACAGGAAGATACATTTTTGTAAATAGTTCGAATTATTGGAATGGGTAAACATAATTCATTTATAAACATATAACATGATATATATTTATCAAACATATATAAACAAAAGTAAAAACATAGTAAAACTGTTTCACATTAATAAATAAAAGAGCTTATCAGAACTAAATGTCTAAAAATACATTATAAAACATAAAAGCGTTTTACATAAACCTTATAAAAACTATAAACCATTGCAAATTATATACATAAAAATGAACAAATTCACCCAAGGATGGTAAATATTGACTAAATGCAAGTGGAACTGGGCTGGAATACTGCCTATATTCTCTTTAGTCAATGACTATTACATCTGGATCAACATACGGATGTTGCTTAAGTTCCTCTATCAACTCCATTACACGTGCCCTGTCCATAATAATGACTTTATCACTTATTTTATTTGGATCTACCAAGTAAGTACATCATTCATTAAGTAACCCCGCCCGTCTCCACGGAGCGAAGCCGGCAAATTCTCGGCGTAAGATTTTAATAAACTTACACACTAAAGGAACCTAAATTATCATAAAATCTAAATAAACATTCCTTAAAACTAAACTTTCCTGGGAACCAGTGTCCAGATATTCTTCTTTTCCAGGCGCTTGAAAATCCCCGCTTCTAGGAATGTGGAGCACCTTCTCTGAAGTTGAGTGGGTCCGCGATCGCCTTCGTTGATTTTCTTTGATCCGGCCAGGCCGTAGGGATATCCGTCTCGACGCACACNATACCAACACCGCCTCCAAGCGCACTGATGACAGAACTACCTCCAGGCCCTCTGATCGCAGAACTACCTCCAGGCCCTCTGATCGCAGAACTACCTGCTGGCCTTCTGATACCAACACCGCCTCCAAGCGCACTGATGACAGAACTACCTCCAGGCCCTCTGATCGCAGAACTACCTCCAGGCCCTCTTATCGCAGAACTACCTCCAGTCCCTCTTATCGCAGAACTACCTCCAGGCCCTCTGTTCAAATGACGACATGCAAGTCTCTTGAAAATACTACTTAACCCAGGACCTCTGATAGCCGTACCACTTTCAAGTTTTTTTACAGTACTACTTCCTGGTAATACATACTCCAAGTCCTATTTACAAAAAACCAAATTAATATAGTATAACATTTTGTTTAAACTTTTTGTAATTTCATAGCAGAATTTAAGCACTTTATAAGTAAGTACACAAAAGCACTCTTGTACACATATTTGAAGGACAAAATTGTTTCGTTGTGCAACCTCACCATATCAACTTGAAGTCTGCGTGAATGAACTGAACTTTTTAATAAATTGTTAAACTTCTCGCTCAACGATAATCTTCTACTGCTGCATCCAGGTGTACTTCTGGCAGTACTGCATCCAGGCATACTGCTGTTATCAGGTCTTTGACTGACACTACTTCCCAATCCATGAGGTTCCACCTTCAGTAGAAAAATATTTAATTCATTACTACAATAAACTTTTTTCAAAAGTATAGAACACAAGAGAAAATACACTCACAATATTGAATTCATAGGGTAGATAAATTGGAATTGGAACTGGAACTGGAATTGGAATAGTAATGGGAATTGAAGGGTCCACCTGAACAGTTTCCGTTTGTCCTTGTCCTATAGAGTCAGTACGCAAAGGTACTGGGTGTTCTTCCTTTTCGTTCTCCACGATGAGTACATCATCATCAGTGTCATCCGAGTCATCATCAATTACAGTAACCCTAACCAAACATTTAAATAGTACAAACGTTCTAAGAGATAACTAGAATGAAAAACTCACTGATGGGATGTGTTTGACAGTTGTGCATGTGCTTCTTGTTCACCATTGCCACCTAAATGGAAGAACATTAACAACAAACATTAACTTAATTAGATACACTGACATCAATATAGTAACAATGCACAAAATATGGCGTTGTCAGAACACCTTGCTACTCCACTTTAAATGTACCTGCCATAACTTCTGTTACAATCATTCACCTTGAAAATAATCCCAAACAAAGCCTGGCGAACCTTGCTCTCTTGCCTATTGTTTACCTTTGATATAATGCTAAATTCTTTTACTCAGTTTTATTGAGAATTAATAACGTCAAGATGGAACGCACCCTTGAACAAAATCGTCATGCCATCATCGCACTGCCCAAGGCAGGTAAATCAAAATCAGAGATTTTCAAGACGCTGAAATCGTTAGGAATAAATCGAATGTTTGTGTGGCGCACCATAAATCGCTTCAAAGATACTCTATCTATTAAAGACAAACCAAGGTCCGGCCGTCCTCGCTCTGTGAGGACGAAAAATGCCATCAAAGCAGTTGAAAACCGAATTCGAAGAAATCCGCTAAGAAAACAAAAAATATTGCCCAGAGAATTGGGTTTTCTTCCCGATCAATGTCTCGCATCATAAAAGATGATCTTTCGATGAGTGCTTACCGTAGAATGACAGGACAAAGGCTTACAGTATCTTTAAAAAAAATTAGAGTCAAAAGAGCCAAGGCATTGTTGACCCGGTACACCGATGGAGTTCATCGAAACATCTTGTTTACCAATGAAAAAATTTTTACCATCGAGGAAAAATTTAACCGTCAAAATGACAAGGTTTATGCTAGAAGTTCTCTAGAAGCTCAGGAAAAAATCGGAAGGGTAGAAAGAGGCCATCATCCTGCTTCAATGGTGTGGTGGGGAGTTTGCTACGATGGCACCACAAAACTCCATTTTTGTGAGCAAGGAGTCAAAACAAGGGCAAAAAATTACCAAGAAGGCATCCTTGAGAAAGTAGTAAAGCCTGTAAGTACTACTCTTTTTTCTGGAACTCATTGGATTTCCAACAGGACTCAGCTCCTGCGCACAAGGCCCGAACAACTCAGCAGTGGCTGGAGGAGAATTTTCCAGAATTCATTAAGGCTTCAGATTGGCCCTCGGGAAGCCCAGATTTGAATCCTCTGGACTACAAGGTGTGGTCCCATCTTGAGCTTATGGCTTGCCACAGGAAACACGCCAATTTAGAGAGCCTCAAGTCCACTTTGCTAAAAGCAGTTGAGAAATTTCCTCAAGACGTGTTGCGTACTGCCATAGATGATTATTGGCCCCGAAGACTAAAAGCTTGTGTGAAGGCAAAAGGTGGTCATTTCGAGTAATATTATTTTATTTCAATCTTAAAAAATATTGGATTTTTTAAAATAAATTTCTTTTTCAAATTATCAAATTTCTCTATTCCCTAATGGCCCTTTTTCTTGTAACAGAACTTATGGCAGGACTAGATCAATTTATTTATCTTTATTCTGGTTATTAGGTCACAATAATATTATTATTTGACTTCTATTTTCGTCTAATTCAATGAGCAAAACATTTTTTAAGCATGCGGAGTTCACCCAGCTATAATGCTTCATTTAGCAACTCGCAAAGCACGAAATGTCAAGTACTAATGTTACTTTCAGGGCAAAGTTTTTAAAGAATTCTAGACATTAAGCATATTAGATGATAATTTGAAAATATAACAAATGTTTAAAAAAAAAAGTTTCAATCAATTTTCAAATTACTTTTCAGAATGGAAGCAGTTATAGTTCATGCCATTGTAAGTAAGCATGAAACATTTATAATAAATTTTTATAAGAGGTTCACATCACTTTGAAAGGTCGTCTTTGGCAAAATGTGACTACAATTTTAATTTTAATTTTTTCATTTACCGCTTTTCCAATCTTTCTGTATCTGCGTATTCTCATTTTTACTGTTTTTCACATCATGAATATCTAAGTACAGAGCAAGCTCATCATCCTGATATTCCTGTCAAATTTCAGGTGGGTCGCAGAAAGGGTCTTATTGATTTTGGACCGATTTACGTGATAAGACGCAAAACATAGGTCTTAACACCCTAAGAAAGTTGGAAAGGCTGTTCTTGATAAATGGGAAAGAATTCCTCAGGATTTAATCAGTAATCTTTTCCAAATAATACAAAGGAGTTTAGCAGATGTGGTTCATGCAGACATGCAAAAACTCAGCAATAACAGGGACAAAAAATGTTTTTTACATTATTTGTTTTTGATTTTTTTCCTTTACTCAATGTGTACTTACATTATGATTTTTTTTAAAGATAAGGTAATAAACATTTTAGTTTTTCAAACAAAAACCTATTTTTGGTATGCAAAATATGAATAACATAAATACACTGCCCATAAAAAAAATCTATCTCGTTTTTGCACGAAAAATGATCAACTTTGGAAATGCATACTTTCTCAGCCTTTTAAAGTGTCATAGATCTGCGCTAGGTCTCATTTTTTTTTGAAAATTACATGCTCATGGAAAAAAACTGACTCTCCCGATTTTATCATACATAAACCTATTGTTTCAATGTGTTATTTGAAACCAAACTGCCACAACACCTGCAAAATGGGGAGGAAAAGTTGAATTTTCGTGATGACATAAACGAGTAGTTATTGACAGCAGAAGCATTCCGCATCCCATTTCCGCTCCCTGTTTAGTTTTTTTAAAAAAGTCCTTGGAGCAAAAGTTGTAGAGCATAACATAATGCTAAATTTAATTAATTAATAATTATTAATAAATTTAATTTAAAACCATTTAAAAAGCCATCTTGTTCAGTATAAAATTTTCTAAGAAATGAGACCTAGCGCAGGTCTGAAAATTAAAAGGCTGAGAAAATATGCATTTTCAAAGTTGGCAAATTTTGCTCATGTGAGTATAAATGTGCATATTTGTTAAAATAAAATATAAATACATTTATAATTAATAATAATAAAATAATTTGATAATTATTAATGAACATAAGTTCATATGGTGTATTTTTGTCCAGGAAGAGTTCTCTTTTTTATAAGATAAAAAATTGATTTTCAAACAGTTCAAAGCTTCCCTTAAAAATGAAAAAATGTTTTTAGGTTCTTGTGACCATTAGCATGCAAAATTTGCAGGCCATATATAACAAGTTGTAAAAGCATGCAAAAAAAAAAAAAAAAAAAGATTCATTATGCTGAGGCCTTATGTAACACCACTGATGAACCATCATCAAACAGCTTTCAACTCGAATATTTCCGAATTTTGGATATGGGGGCAAGGTGATTTCACATAACGCTGCTATTTTTACCTAATCAGACACTACCCTAATCCCAGCAAAGCAGAAAGAGTGCTAAATGATTTAAAGGCGCCCTTAATAGCATATTATGGGGAAAATCAAGCCGGATAGTTCGAGGGTATGCAATAACTTCAACTTGCATTAAATTCAGCATAGAACTCCTCCACAGTTTACCCCCGGTCAACTGTTTTTAGGACAGAACAAAAACACTCCTCTCATGTTACAATGGGATTTGGATTATGACAGGGACAAATGAATGAACACAATAAAGAGAAATAGGCACTAGGCATTACGAAATGTCAACAAAGCACAATTAAAGTAAAAAAAAAAGTACCATGGCGAGAAACACACCTGTGAATTCCAAACTTGACGTTGTTCTGCTCAATGCATACAATTTGTCTGTTAAATTTGCTGCAAAATTGAAGGACAAGTAAGATGGACCATATGGTTATAGAAACTTAAGCATGCTATTAAGGTTTTTTAAACTATCATCTTGATATAGTTCCAGCGACCTTAAGCATGCTATTAAGGTTTTTTGAACTATCATCTTTGATACATTCCAGTGACCTTAAGCATGCTATTAAGGTTTTGAACTACCACCTCTGATAATAGTTCCAGTGACCTTAAGCATGCTATTAAGGTTTGTTGAACTATCATCTTTGATACATTCCAGCGACCTTAAGCATGCTATTAAGGTTTGTTGAACTATCATCTCTGATATAGTTCCAGCGACCTTAAGTTAAGCATGCTATTAAGGTTTTTTTAAACTACCACCTCTGATAATAGTTCCAGCGACCTTAAGCATGCTATTAAGGGTTTTTTAAAGTACCATCTCTGATAATTGTTCCAGCGACCTTAAGCATGCAAAACATGCAGATTCATAGCATCCATAGTTAAACTATTTTAAATTTTACATAACTAACTATTGAGCAAAAATAAAAATAGGTTAGAGCTGTTCTAGTTCTAAGCAGTTAGTATAAAAAGTTCATTATAGAGAATAATAATTTGGCTAAAAACAAGTCATGAACTAAGTATTTGTTTTTAAAGTAATTTCTAATGTCAGCAAACACCACTAGAAATAAATTTTATTTTAAATGCCTTTTAAGGGAAAAAAAAATCCTCCAAACCTTTTTCATTACTTTAATGCAACTGTTAAGAAGCAATCCAAAATACAATAAAATTACTTACATTTTCCCCTCATGAATAAATTTTTCAATAGATAGATCAAAATCTAAAAATTTATAAATGTTTATTATTTCCTTTTTTCTTTTCTCTTTTTGTTGTCGGTACAGTCGAACTTCCCACAAAACTAGGGAATGTGAATAATCTATAAATGTACTCTCCCGTATCCGTTATTAGAATTTTCGTACTTTTAAATCTGAATATAATGTTGTCCGGTTATTGGAAGTGTCCGTTTGGGAAAGTTCGACTGTATTTTAAATTTTAGACATTGGATGAATTTTTAAAACCTAAATCAGAATTACTGATTGCTGATTTATACAAGCCCAAAATCTGGATAAGCATGTACCATACAGGAGTATACAGAGTTGAGCCTATCACTTCTTGCAGTCCACCAGCAATTTGCAGCGTTTGTAATTTACAACAAATTACTGGCAGACTCAAGAATCACCCACCTCCCAAGCATTGTCCGGGGTCAGACCTCGGGTCTTATCCTTCCAGCCACCGAGGTTGGGCTCTTCGGGCTGTCAACAATTAGGTAATTTCAGCCCCCAACGCAATAATACAAACCAATTTCCACTCTCATTCTTAAATACATTCTTTCTTATTTACATACCGTTCACTCAGGGTGGAGTAGTTTATATCCCTCCTTTTATACATATTTATATAACTAACCTAATTGAGAGTCAATTGTGTACTCAATAGTCCATCATTGTCCCTGTTTGCACTAACCATCTAGAGGAGTGAGTTGTTTTGGTTAAGATAAAAAATTAATCAATTCCTAATTTAATAAAAACCATTAATCTCTCATAGAATACACTAACACATTTTACTGTATTCGACCAAATCCACTGGATGTCTTGTCGAAAAAGTACCACGAGGACAGAAAGAATTGGGCCTCAGCTTTGTGCAGCAATTTGTACAGGAAGGAAGTGGTAAGTAAATTACAATTACAGAATACACTAATTCTCACATAATGTGGATCCTACCTCCTCTATATCGAGCCAAGGACACCCTTCAATTCGATGGGACGCATTGAGCAACCTTTCAGTGCATGCTGGATGCAAAAAGTCATCCTCACAGCCTGTCTTAATCAGATGAAGATGACTTCTATGAGTCAGTTCCTCCCTTGGCCAATACGTGCTTTTAATATGTGAGAGCTATGTTGATGCTGCCACTTTCTACTAATCATGTTTTTTATTGCATTTTTTAGCCTCAGGGGGACGGATCACAGTGAGTCCAGAAGTTGGGATAGGGACCGTAGCCACCTAGTCTGCCTTTTTGATACCCTCCATGTGTTCAGGTAGATTAGACAACAAGTTTTGCAGACTCTCCACCTCATTTCTCTCAACAAGAAACAAATATATAGAGAAAGTCGACAGAAGACCTGTTACAAACAGCAGTAATCAACCACCTTTCTTATCTTATTGCCTATATACGGAGCCAAGGAATCAGCTTCCAATCACCTAGGGCACATCGAACCTTTCGTTACAATGCAGACACATTCGCGGGGCTTCGGCCCAAAAGTAAGTGTGTCAACCTTACATAACCTATTCTTAATCAGATGAAGATGACTTCTTTTATGTGTCAGTCCCTCCAAGCGCCGACATCAACAGTACTCTGGATAATCAACAGCTTCTCTGCAGACACTGCCACTTTCTTTTTAATCATGTTTTTTATTGCATTTTTTAGAGTCAGGGGGCTTGAATGTGGTGGGAGTTAAGTCCGAGGTTGTGATGCCAAGCCAAAGACAGACTGCCTTTTCGTTATCTTCCATGTGTTCAAGTACATAGACAAGAACCACAGTTTTGTGGAGACGCTCCAGTTCGTATCTCCAACAAAAGCACCATGAAAGGGTTGACAGAAGACCTATCAAAAACAGCAGTAACATTCCTATTTCCTCTCTATATACCATGGAATGACTTCAACTAAGTGGGACAGGTCTCAGCATACCAGACAGCAACGCCGACTTTGACCCCCCCCCCAATAGTGCCCATGTATCAACTTCAAAAAATCGGGCAAGGATGATCCTTATTCTACGAGTCAGATCCTCCCTCCCTATTGACAGTGCTCTTGATACACAAGATTTTTCGCATCAGAGCTCTTTCATAGTGGTTCACCATTGTCGGGAGCTCTAGTTTGAATCTGTCCAACAAGGGCACCATGACAGGGTCAACAGAGATGCAAGAGTCTATACAGATAAGGCAAAGCCACAACGGTTTTGAATCATTAAATCAGAATTAGCATGCAATTGACAGAAATATTACAGTATTGCCAATAAAAACACAAAAGCTTAGATTTCAGTTTTATCAAATCCTCCCAAAGATAATAAATAAAAGAGAAATTGTATATTGCATGGGAAATTATATAATATATATACATATATTACATTATAAGTAATGTTAAATTAAACCTTATCATCCATATATTAAGAATATATTCATTATTTTTTTTAAGCTGTTATTTTAATGAAGTGGCAATAGAAACTTGTTAAAAATAATAGAACAGTCCAATTTATATTTGCAAAAAATAAAAAATATAAGGAAAACAATCACTAACCTTTTGCTAACCGGCAGCACATAAAACAATCCCAATACGTGTTGATAGTATTGCGGTTGTATTTTCTGTCTGTCCATAAATTAGCGCATTCCAAATGAATGCCGTTTCCACCACACGAAGCGCATGGAATCAATTCCCATCGTCTAAAAAAACAGAAAAACATCAATTATTAATTTAAAGTAATAAGTTTTTTATACTTGAAACTTACGAATTTTTCTTTTTGAATTCTCGCCCTTTATCACAGAGGCAACGCTCTGCTTCACATTTTAAACTACTGTTCAATTCCTGATAAGCATTTGGCTCTCTTTCCCATGAAGCAGCCCTACATAAATGTGAAAAATTAGAACTTTTTTTTAAATAAACAAGTTATTTTTATCGTCTTACTGTAGAGGAATGTAGACACCTCGTTCTTTCACAGTATGGCAAAACTCTCTCCTATTGCTGCAAAACGGGCATTTGAAATAGAAACCCGAATTAAGTGCCATTCGCTAAAAAAATAAAATAAAAAAAATAAAAAAGTTCCAAACTTAAGGATTTATAATAAACTCACCTGAAGGCATTGCCTGTGTAGTAATGCAGTAGGTTTGCAACAAGTAGGCCAAATAAAAGTCATCTCATCATTTGCAGATATAGAGTCGTAACACAGAATACAATCGTTATCTGTGTCCGACAATGAAGTTTTCATAGATTCCGGCAGATATTGTTTAGGCCTGTGTCTTACACAATAAGACCTGGAAAAAAACTCAATTAATATACCATAATAATTAATAAATTGTGAATATATTACTTGATGTGTTTGTAATTGTGCATCGAATGATTCTTGATGCCACAGGTAAAATGAAATTTGACAGTGCAATCTTTTACGCAGCAGTTGACTGTAGCTCCCGTTTTCTTACAATATGTACATTTCTGAGCAAAACAAAAAATATTGCAAGATCACAAATATATATATTTAATTATTTTAATTTAAACCAGATTTATATATGTACGCTAAAAAAACAAAAACCGGACACTGTTTATTTTCCATAGTAATAACTAGGTATAAAGATTTTTTCCTTAAAAGCATGGTTTTAAATTGAGATCTTGCCTAGGCAGATGCTTTAGCCAATGATGTACTAGCCAAAGCCCTGGGTGTGCCGTGCTCTACAATGATGGTCTATAGCGTATAGGGCTACCGGAAATTTAGATCGAAGAAAAGGTAGCATTCGACCACGAAGCCTATTAAATAGAGACAATTGTTTTATTGATTTTACTACACTACGCAATCGTCAAAAATAACTGCTTCCTTCATAGCGAACTCCAAATCTGAACGTGTGAGCTCCAACACAATTCATCAAAAGGCTTGAGAAAAAGGCCTCTCAATATCTCTGGACATTCCACACCAGGTTCTCCATTATTGGAGAGTCATATATAATCAGCATCGACCCTTGAACAATTCTGTTCTCATCACAAATGGGTGCAAGTCATTTAACTCCTTGACTCAAGATGTGTGCCTCATGTCACAGCCTTTTCAAAGATCAGTTATGGGTATGGGGGTGGAACAGACATCCATGCCCATACTGAACTGATTATCGTCTTGAACGGATATTTGACTGTTCATTGAGGAAGTTCTGAAAGCTGTCTCGTTCATTCCATTTATAGGAGACAACTTCATGTTAATGCATGATAACGATGCTTAACTGTTGCTCGAGTTTCCACCCATTAATTAGAGGATGTAGATGCGCAGCCCAGCAGATTCTCTTGACATGAATCCCCTAGAACACTTATGGAACATGATAAAGACATTGTTCACCACCTCCAATAAAAGTTGAACAGCAAATAGTTGAAAACAGAAGAATGAGAAGACAAAATCAGACTCAATGCCTAGAAAACTTAAGACCCCCTATGTGATACCAGAGAAGGAAGTATGTATTATTAAGAGAAAAAATATTTCGGTGAATTTCTTTCAAACCATCATAATTAAATATTTTTTATTAAAACTCATGAATTTTACGATCATGTTTAACTTGCTTTACATTAAAAAAGTATGTTGTAATTATATAGTTTGGAATAAACTACAAAATAACAAGTCTCCGGTTTTCTTTGCGTGTATGAGACTTACCAGTGATTCTCCACGTTGGATTTCTTTGTAAATGTCCTGAGGCAAAAATCCCATGAGACCGTGTCTTTCACTCCCTCTTGGTCTAAGTCTGGATGCCATTAACTGTAAAATATTTTTTAATTTCAGTCATAAGGCCAGAATATTTAAAGACACCTATAAGAACTAATGAAGGGAAATTTCACCAGACAAAAGAAGTGAACTGTAATATCCGAAAAGTCCTCATCATCAACTGATCGGCATCCACTTATCAACATAGTATATATCCAACCAAGTGTACTTTCGTCAGCTTCACTCGAGTGGCAAAGACAGCACTCTTTCCCCTCAGGGAAAGCGTCGAGCTTTCTCACCTTCATGTGTACGTCTGAAAAAAAAAATCCCTTTTCAATTTACAAGCAAAGATACTTTATATGAAAACTAACTGTACGGTATTGCCCAAGGGAATAAAGTTTTATTTTACAAGTTGAGTATAAATATAGCATGTTACTAGAGATTTCTTTTAAATTGGGTAGACTCTCGATCAACATGTAGGGACCAGACCTACCTCAGTTAATTGAAAATCTCGGATAATCCTTCTTTTTAAAAACAATGAAAAGAAAATTAATTAAAAACGCATTTTGCACAAAAATATGTTCATTTTGGATATGTTGTTACCATAACCAATCTTCAATTCCTTGCAATTTTTCAGTTTCGGTGGGAAATTTTTTAGCAATCGGACCAGAAATACTTCATTTCTTTGCTCCTCTGTTGAAGGAACCACAAAAAGATTTGTCAACGGGCACTCTGGTGGCTTCATTGACTTCCGGTCGGCCGGTGTTGAACACAGCTGTAGCGCGAACGCTTCAAGTTTGGCACGATTCCGAAGCCAATCTGAGACATCGCCGCGATATTCATTAAACTCTCCTCTTTATCAGTTATTTAACTGGCACAATTTTTTTTTTTTCCGAATTGAAATCAGAACCCATTTTCGTTGGGTTTCGAATTCAGCCATTTTTACTTACGTACAATTGTACATACATAGAAGAGAAAACTAAAAAAGCTGGGGTAGGAGAATCTAGGAAATCCAGTATCAGATATTATCGTAACCACGCCATTAGAGCTTCTAAGAAAATATTCGTACTTATTCCAGGCATGGACACTACCCCAATCACCTTAAACCCTATCAAGCAATTGCGGGATCATGGAAGGCAGCTTAACAAATGAAAATTATAAGCAAAAATAATCTAAAAGAAGAGATTTTTTAGATGAGTGGATATATTCAAATGTAGCAACAAACCTAGTTCTACCCACAAAAAGCATTTAATATTTAGTACGTCCAAAATGGCACGTATCCAAAATTGAGACGATGGACAAAAAGCCTTACTTCAAGAACATTTAATTTTTACTGATATTTTTTTGAGAAACCAATTTTACAACCAGATTACAAAATTTCAAAAGCAAAACTATGAGAAATGTATTCATGTGTTGCTTTCAAATTACCTGGAATTTGTCCTGGAAAGGGATTAATTTAGAAAATTGGAAGATTTTCCAAAACAGCAGTTCACTAACTTTATGAATAGGTAGAGTTCTAGAATAGAATAGAGAAATTTTTTTTGATGTGTATAATTAAAAATGAATAATAACACGTGACTATTTAACACAACTCTGTTTAAGCCAATTGCTTGTTACGTACATTCAATGTATGATAGTGAGCTCTATCTAGAATATCTAATTAATCATCAGAATTACAACAACCAGTCATAGCACTGATCAAAATTTCCTTAAGAAAATGGCTTCTGGGCACGTGCTATTGCTGAGGCAAAACAATTATGACCAAGCGTAAAGTTAAAAGAGGAATTAGTGCAGTTCGCTATTGGAGATTATCCGGTCAGATAATGGAAATAGTAAGGAAAACCAAGAGTCAAATTTGACGGCAAACCAACTAAAAATGCTTAATAAACTCGACCATTCTCAAGCACACAAAAACTCAAGCAGCTGACCTGTCCTAAAGAAAATGACTTCCAAGCAAGTCCTCATATCAGACTACAACAGTGAGAAAAATATTAAAAATTCGGAATATTTTAATAACACGTAGCTATTGAAATCAAACAGTCCCTCTCACACGCCAGATAAATTCAGTTGAGGTTGAATTCAATTGAAGTTTTTGAGTAAACTGTACAANGATTAAACTACACACCCATCTTTATCATTTCTATTAATTATTGTTAATTCTTTTAAACCAAAATAAATAAAAAAATAAGTTTTAAAAAACAAAATGAAGACAAGATGCTATTTTAACCTAAAGATCTAAGCGTTCTGTTAAAACTGGTTGAAATAAGGTTATTTACGTACCTTTTATGGCTGATAGTGAGCTCTAGAATATCTAATTAATCATCATAATTACAAAAACCTGATAGAAATAGCACTGAAAATAAATAGCACTGAAATAGCACTTCCTTAAGAAAATGGCTTCGGAGCACGTGCTCCTGGCAAAGGCACAATACGTTATGGCAGGACGGAAGTTTGAAAAGCCTAGAGGACAGACAGAGGTCGCTAGTGGTCAGCATCCGGTAGGATTTTAGGGTACTTCCATATTATGGAAGTAAAATCATGTAAAAACCACGTGCCGAATTTGGTGGCAAACCAACTAACAATTGTTGACTAAACTCGACTATCCTCACGCAACTTCAACCGCTGCCTGTCAAAGAACAAAATGGCTACCAACCACGTTCAATAGAAAAAGACGACATTGTAATTTTTTATTTAGTTGAGGGAATTTCGTTTTTCACAAACATCAGTAATTAAATCAATCACAATATTAGCGCAAATAGATTTAAAATTATTTATGAAAAATGACCTTCGACCACGGTTGGAAACACTAAAGTCAAAATGACCAACCCTACAACAATTTTATTACACTCAACAGGACATTTAGCCAAACATATCTAGTTGCTTACTAAAATTAAAAAATCAAATTCCACTGGTAAACTTTATAGATAAAATAAAATGTATAAAGTAAATATGGAAAGTAACACTATTATTGGCCCCTATCTTAATCTAAAATGACTATTTAATTGCTCGTTTACAATGATGTCGAAATGGTTTTTAACCAGAAAACTGGATGTATAACAATATTTTAAAAATATTAATAGCAAAACGTACCCCGTTCGTGGCTCAGTGTCTAGCTAAAGCTCAGAATAAAGATAAACCTTCAGAACAAAATGACGACCAGCATGTGCTCGCGCAGAGACAAGAACGTTATGACTAGCCTAGGTTTAAAAAAAAAGGAATGAGGACAGAAAAAGAGTTCGCTAGTGGTGATTATCCGGTACGATTTAGGGCTCCTTCCAAAACTGCCTTTTAAATCTAAGAAAACCCGCCTTCAAAATGGCGATTTGTTAAGCATTTATTTATAGATTCAAACATGTTAAATATTTAAAATTTGGAATATTTAAACATATCTTAGAAAAAGAAAATCAGTCAGTCACGCTCACGACTTTCAAATAAAGTCAAATTGAGGTAAATGAGTAAACTAAGGAGCGTCGGTTTTACCATTTTATACAAATACAATGCTCTTTAAGCAAAAACATATTTATTATAGTTAATAAAATAATACTTTATGAGGAGGTGGATTTTTAAAACTATCTGCTGAATTTGTCCAACAAAACTTTCAAATTTGGCAGTTGTAAGTTCCATAAGAATATGGCTTCCTGTACACGTGCTCTTTGAATAAAGTAGGAATGGTTGGGACAGAAAAGTGTATTAAGACAAAAGCTGGTTGAGAAGAAAATTAAAAGTATTCACAAATATTAATAATTATTTTAAACATAAGTGTAATTAAACAGTTTTTAGGAAATAGTAATTAAAAAGTTAAAAAAAAATTAAATTAAGACAAAGATACTACATTAACCTAAACATCTAAGCGTTGTTAAAACTGGTTGAAATTTACTTATTGACGTACCTTTTATGACTGTTAGTGAATTCTAGAATATCTAATTAATCATCAGAATTACAAAAACCTGCCAGAAATATCACAAATCAAAACTTCCTTAAGAAAATGGCTTCCGAGCACGTGCTCAGTCAAAGTCAAAATACGTTATGGCAAGACGGAAGTTTGAAAAGCCTAGAGGACAGACAGAGGTCGCTAGTGGTCAGCATCGGGTGGGGTGTAGGGTTCCTTCGACAACGGCCTTTTGAGTCGAAAAAAATCGGCCTTCAACGGTGAGATGTTAATATTTAAAATCTGGAATATTGAAACAAATCTAAAAGGCAAAAAAAAAATTTTTTAAAAACCAACTGTAACTAAAGAATGTCACTGATTATCTCTCACAGACTCTCTCATGCAGATTGAAACCAAATTCTACCGAGAAAAAGTTCTAAAACATCACCATTTTCCCTTAGTTAAAAATGGGGGAAGCTCCCAAAGTTGTTTTTACCTAAAAGTTTTTAATATAATATAAAACAAAACGTACCTTCCATGGGCAGGGTTGTGAAACAGCTAGCTATTCATTAGAAGAAACATCAAAAATTTATAGATAATTCATGCATGAGACAATAATAACTTTTCTAACATGAACGTAAAGTTGCTTCCAGGCACGTGCTCTGTCGAGGACAAGACCGTTATGACTAGACCAAGGTTTAAAAAAGGAATGAGGACAGAAAGAGTTCGCTAGTGGTGATTATTCGGTACGATTTAGGGGCTCCTTCCAAAACTGCCTTTTGAATCTACGAAAACCAGCCTTCCAAACGGATGTTAGTGATTATTCAACTTTTTTGCTGTTAAATATTTAAAATTCGGAATATTTAAATATCTATCTCTTAGCTAAAGAAAGTCAGTGATTCTCACACCTTTCAAAAAGTCAAGTTAAGGTAAATGAGTAAACTGTTGAGCGTCAGTTTTACCATTTTCTACAAATACAATGCTCCTTAAACAAAAACATATTTATTATTGTTAATAAAATAATACTTTGAGTAAGTAGATTTTTTAAACAATCTGCTAAATTTATCCAAGAAAACTGTTTCAAATTTGGCAGATATAAGTTCTAGAAAAACATGACTTCCTCGCACGTGCTCTTTGAGAAAAAAGTACGTTAGAGAAGATATTTAATGGAATGCCGATAGATTTAGACTGGAATTTCTTTTAAAACGAAGGCAAACGGTGAGTTCCTGAAAGTTTAATATTAAATGAGATAAACGTACCGTTCATGAGTTTCAGAGTATCTTCGCTAATCATCAGAATATAAGAAAGACGTTCAAAATTAAACAATATTCACTTCAGAACAAAATGGCTCGGCACGTGCTCTCGCGAAGACAAGACCGTTAAGACCAAGCCAAAGTTTAAACAAGGAAATGATGACAGGAAAAGCTAGTGGCGGTTATATGCCC